CTGAAAGAACATGTAAGGATTGAAAATTTTAGAATCTAACNATACTGCTAGTAATTTTTCCGGAAAAATTGTTAAATGACAATTTATTTAATTATTATTTTACCATATTCAAACAAAACAGTTAAGTAACCTTAAATAATATGGTATTCTAACTATTAACAGTGAGAAAAACCGTATATTAACTGCTTTCACCTAATATGGTTTAACAACCAGTCTAGTTGGGGAGATTTTTATCTCCCCAACTAGGCCCATCTAATGAAGCCACTTATTTCATAGCAGAGTGGCACATACAATAACCGAGAGGGATAATTAATCGATTTCGTTAACCGACAGAACGTGGGTTCGAGTCTCAGCTCTGACATCACAATATTTCCTCCATTCCCTTCAACACTTGAAGAATTACCTGTGTCCTGCACTCCCCAATTTGTGTTCCTGTAGTAATATAACTTCAAGTGTTTTTGAAGCGGAAGAACATTCTAAATGCATTTGGCGACAAACTGTCGACCACAAACTTAGAGTTTCTTTGGCAACATATTAAAACACCAAGAAATGCGAAGGCTATTACGCGAATAGTTCAAGAAGAGTATACTTTTGATAGATTTTGTCAAATGAAAATTCGTATACGTAAAATAAGGGCGAATCTCAACTTTTACTAACAAAAAACAGAACAACGTGTAGATTTTAAAGCTAATTTTCTCAAAAATTCATTATACACTTTAGAACTTTTATCCCTTGAACTCATCATACATAATTAAATTATTTTATTTTGCGATTAATGTAACAGTATTTTGTTTTAAACTTAGTAAAACTTTGCTTTAATTTACTGTTAGTAAAAAAAATATTTCAACTTTAAAATTGTTATTCATTTATTAATTAAAATACTATTATTATTAATTTATAGAATTTTATTTAATTACATTGTACTAGTCTCATTTAGTGACCAGCTTGGTCACCTTTCAAAAATAACTCGTACAATGTTTAAACTTCCATTGTAATAGCCAAATGCATAGCACAACTATATTTAAATATTCTAATTCTTCAACCTCTCCTTCAATCTCAGCATCTTAATTAGTTTTGAACAATATATTACTCGAATATTTTCACCGTCTAGCTTTTGCCTGCAGCCTTGTCAGCATGGAAGTACTTTGATTTCAATTTTAACTATTTTCGAAAGATGTCCGAGATATTGTCAAAGTTCTTTACTTATATTGAATTTAAGTAGTGATTTGAAATCTGTCTGGCCGCCATTAGATCTCATGAACCACCTTAAGTATGAGTTTGGGACATTTCAGCCTAATAGGCAGCAGAATTATTCAAATTACTTCCATTTCTGTGGTGAGATAAAAATAGAAAACTCATCTCATTACTCCATTACTTGCTGTACCGCTTACTCATTCACCACTCGAATCATAATTTGAGTATCGCTCTCCCTCATGGCTCACCTCTCCAGTCATAATTTGAGTTCCATACAAGTGCCATTGCTCGAAAAAGGTCACCAATAATTGGTTAGAGAATATGCGACACCATAGCACCGTTAACGTTTAAAATTTCTACAACCATTTTAAAAAAGAACAAAATAAATCTAGATAACTAATATCTTCGTGACAAAGCTTTTATTTCTATAAAAATACAAAATTATTGTAAATAAATAATGAAGGTTGTTGTTGTTAATTTACGTCGCACTAGAGCTGCACACTGGCCTATAGGCGACGGTCTGGGAACATCCCGGAGGATGCTCCGAAGACATGCCATCACAATTTTGATCCTCTGCGGAGGGGATGGCACCCCCGCTTCGGTAGCCCGACGACCTGCGCTCGAAGTCGAGCACTTTACCGTAGCATAGTTTAACGAGGACCAATATCGCACACCCTCGGACCCTACGCAGATTGATCCAATTGGTCACCCATCCGCACACTGACCGTAGCCAGTGATGCTTGACTTCGGTGATCTGCTGGGAACCGTGTCTTAACGATCAGTCCACTGCGGGACAAATAATGAAGGTAAATAAATAATGCTAAATAAATACTAATAAACGTATAACTAACTACTTAACACTATTTAAGCTATTACTTAAGACAACTTAACAAAATGAATAATAACTATAGTGCTAGGTAGAGAAATATCATAGTTTATGGTGCCACGTTACAGAAATACATACATTTTCGATTCTAAGCTTCAAATTTCAAACCTTAGAAAATAGTTACTGCCATTTAATCTTTAAATTGTTTAAAATATACAAAACACTATACTATCTTATTCTCATGCATTATCATATTAAAATACATGATATTATATTTTAAGCTTAAGGAATATTTTGATAAAGTAATATGCACAAAATGCAATGTGAACCTCCCAATGGACATCAAAGCCTCAGTGTCGTATTGTAAATGTAAATTCATGTAGGGAAATATTATGTAACATCAAAGACACCAATTTTGAGAAGGCGAATCAATAATTTTCAAAGGCAGATACTTGATAATAATGTTGATGTCATAAACATATTATCACTACGGACTTTATTATACATGAAAATGAATGCGCATGGAAAATGTTCAATAATTTCCGAATTCTGCCAGAACTTAAGTTTAGAACTTAGGTTGCGCCATTTTTGGAAGAGTAAAATGCGAAAAATATTTGTTCATTGGTATTTTGGATAATGCGTTACATTTCATTTCAAAGTGTTTTTCTTTTAGTCTATGTCTAAAAAATATTTAATTATTAAAAGCTATAATTTGAATTAATAAAATATTGAATTAATAAAACATTCTACTTTAAATGAAGCAAATATTAATGATGGAAGAGTAGCTATTAGAAATTATTAAAAAACAGTTTGGCTATGCAATCGTTTCTCATACATAAAAAGATGTTTTATTTCTTAAAAATAGTATGTGTCTTAAAAGTATTTCATCCTTAAGCTACAAAATTGGAAATGTTTAAACAATGAAATCTGCACTCTAAATAAAGTGAATAAAAATGATAATAGAGTTGCTATTAGAAAGTAATAAAGGTTAGTTTTGTGTCTTAAAAATATTTAATTCTTAAAAGCTATAGTTTGAACTAATAATGAAATGTATTATTTTTTTTAAAAATGTGATAAAGTAAAGGCATTTAGAAAGATGGGTTATATTTGTTTATTTAATTTATTTTAAGTTTTTTAAAAATAATGAACTAAAATACAGAAGATTTTGCTCAATGCTAGATTTACATAAATTAGTATTGCTGGTTGACGTTACGAATTGGGTACTTGCACTTCAAGAAGACCACGAATACCCACACATTTGACCTATGACGTCAGCGCCAGCCGATTGCTCATAAGCGAAATGACGTGTTAAAGTGGAGCTAAGTTTTTCCACATAAATTAGATTGTTAATTGACGTGAAGTTAATTAAATACAGTGCCGTATCACACAAAGAATTTATTGAAATATAATTCTTTCTCTTCTACGTCTCTTACTCAACTTTATTTGCTTACGTATTTTATGGTAAGCGGGATAAATTTTTGTCTTGTGTACTTGGCAACAACTTTGATGTATAATTATTTTGTTTATGTTTTACACGGCTTCATGCCTGTCCTTATGTTTAATAAGAAATATAAAGCGAAAGAATTGAAAGATTTGTGAAAGAAGCGTAAGAATGCAGAATGCGTCACTTAAGAAAATTGATAATTGGTACTACGGGCTTGGCTTATTCGAAATAGAATGGAAATAACAGTTGCTAAAGTAAACATATGCCACGTTTCAACAGCCAATCAGGATCGAGATACCCACACTACGTCACTTGTAGATATCCCATTGTCAATTTTTTGTCAAGTTGTATATTCAGAAATAATCTTTATGCCCAGCACTTATTATGATTAGTCAAATGGATGTTGATCTGGGTACTTTCTTATCCGAATCTACATAATTTTTTAGTTGTTTTGCAAACTGCGCTTTTTATCTCTAATTTCGGCATTTTAAAATTAAAGACAGTATTCTATTAGAATTAGAATATACTTAACTAGAACATGATATTTTTGCCAAATAATTGTCAAATATAAATCAATATTTACTACTTACGATTCGCTGGAAGCTGCGTTTGAGCTGCAGATGAGGAATACATTTATATGTGAGAATAATCAATCACTATCCAGAGCATAACCATCCATTTTGCATTAATGCGATTCAGTAGTCCTCAGTAGTGAAAGAAAAGTACCAAGACTGAAATAACAGAAAAATTGCTCACAATAAAGTTTTACTCCACAATAAAATGCCATTTGAAGGAATAAAAAGAAATATATTTATGTTTTAAATAACTACTGATGGTTAAATAAAAAAATTTCCTTCCAATTTTTTATAACTATTCCTTTTATGGAAGCATAAGCGAACAGGGGGTGGAGCTCACTAGTATTTAGATATTTCTCATTTCTTATTATGTTTTAGATTTTATTTATAGAATAATTTATGCTTAGAATATTTAACTAATAATTTTTTTTATCAGAAAATACGTAGTTTGGGTATATGTTTTTCTTCAAAAAGGATAAAAAAAAAGATTATTTAAAAAAAAAACAGAAAAAATAAAAAAATAATTTGTATGTTCGTATATTTATTAGTTTTAATTGGAAGTACTTTACTTTATAATATTGTACTAAATTTAGAAAGGTTAAATTAATATTATAAGTACATATACTGAGGTTAAAAATATTGAGATAGGTAATTCATGAAATTTTTATTTTTAACTTACCGAAAAATGGTATTTTACAGTGGTGCTCGGTAATTTAAAATAATATATATATATATATATATATATTTATATGTATCATTATCACCCCAGTACATGCATGTACCAGTATATCTCTAATTAAGCTTCATAAAAAATTTCAAATCTCTATGTTGAATACTTTTTAAGAAAAAAGTACATAAAGTTTGCCATTTTAACATTGTTGGTATAGGGCATACCGACTCCCCTTGCTTTCTCTTTTAAATCTATACATAATAATAAACGCGGCTGTGTGTGTGTCTGTGGCGTAACTACCACTACAAAAGTTTAACATCATTCACTAGTATATAAAGCATGCTAACTTGATTCTATCACGAGGTACCTTTTGATAGATGACGGTTGGTATTGTCGATTAACTCCGCCCCTACACTGGTGACCCGGACAGAGAATTTATATTGGTGACAACGAACTGTGAATTATGCCGAACACGAATGAAAGTGAAACTGGCACTACTGAGTTGGCTCGAGTTGCAGTAAAATGTCCACAATTTTGGAAAGATAATCCTATCATCTGGTTTTCGCAAGTCGAATCGCAATTCATTACGAGTGGAATAACACAAGACAATACAAAGTACCATATTGTCGTTGCATCAATCGAAACTGAAATCTTGGCGCAAGTAAGTGATATAATTACTTCACCTCCAGTTAATGATATGTATAAAACATTAAAAAATAGACTAATTGAAGTATTTAGTGATTCGGAAGAGAGACGACTTAAAAAACTCCTTCAAGATATCGATTTAGGCGATAAACGCCCATCTGCATTGCTTCGCCAAATGCATGATTTAGCTGGCGATAGTGTGGATGACAAATTTTTGAGATCGTTATGGCTGCAAAGACTGCCAACACAGATGCAAGCTATACTTAGTACTTCGTCTGACGAATTAAATAAACTAGCAATGATGGCTGATAAAATTGCCGATGTGTCAAATTCAAATGAAATTCACTCTGCTACGGTAAAATCGACACTGCAGTCTGAAAACAAAATTGTTGGTTTANGTCATCAACATTCCGTGCCAGATGCAATCGTCTTCCCATCATATCATGACATGGCAGAACCGCCTTCCAAAAAACTTTGTATTTTGTCAAAGAAAAAGATATTAAGAGATTCTCAAAGAAGAAGAAGGACTCAAGAAACGTCTGTGGAACGTCAAAGAAGGATGGGACATGACCGAATTTCGACAAGCAATTCTAGACTCCAAGAAGTATCAGAGAAACGTCAAAGAAAATTAGAAGAGGATCGTGTCTTAACTAGCAGTGCTAGGGCCCGAGAAACACCTGAGGAACGTCAAAGAAGATTGGAAGAGGATCGTGTCTCAACTAGCAGTGCTAGGGCCCGAGAAACACCTGAGGAACGTCAAAGAAGATCGGAAGAGGATCATGTCTCTACTAGCAGTGCTAGGTACCAAGAAACATAGCGTGGCGGACAGCTGGCCGCCTTATGCGGCTAGTATATAAATAAAATATATAATTTTTTAGCTCTTATTACATAATTAATCTCATTCAATTTGATATTATACATTTGATACTAAAAGTTCTTAATAATCACGAGTTAAAAGTGAAAAGATTTTCTTTATGAACTATTTTCTGTCATCTAATACAAACACTATTAGTCCACAAAAACGTCAAACAATTTTTGCATATTTAATTTATTGGGATATAACGTGATAAATCGCATTAATTTATTCTAATGAAATAAAAAAACTTAAGTAACATTTAGAAATATTTAAGTACAGACAAATCAGTTAAGGAAAAAATGTTTTATTTTGCAGAACTTGTGTACGTATAAGCTTGTCTGAGATTTCAATCATTTTTATTATATTATTCTTCTCATAAGACGGGCCCTGTAATCCCTAGAACTTCAGTTAATGGCATTGCAAACTTACTGAGAGGCATTGACTCTCGGTGGTTATGCTTGTTTCCCATTTTCGTTTGTACAACCTTTTATTTACATTTGTTTTGTGAAAAAATATTTATTTCTTTTCAAGCATAATAAGTATATAAGTTCAGATAAAATGTTAACAACGACTTCTTTTATATCTATCAACACCTCCAAGAAAAGAGAAGACCTCAACACGGGTTACCGTAATGACTTACTTCGTATTGTCCACCATTGCGCAACTTCATAGCCCGACAGAGTGAGATCTTTCGTAATTTTCATCCGCTGTGCAGTTTAAGTTTGTTACATCGGACTAAGTTCGGTCGAATTAAGTCGTTACGTCGTAAGAAGGGATCCGTGATGAGGCCTTCTTTCTTCTAAGATGCGTTGTCACTATACGCAATGAAATCTCTTCTGTAACCAACCAGCCTCTAAGCCAGCTAGAAGCTAAGCCTTAATTCTTAGTAGCGCCACCTTGAGGATCAATAAGAGAATCTTTAAGTTCGAGTTTCGGGACATAAGCATCAAGATGACGTTTCCTCTTTTCCTCCGAAATTACCAATTTTATGACTCGTTCTTTAGATTCATTTTATTTATATTCACTTTAGGTAATTTTTCACGTGTTGCTTCAATTGGGTATACTATAGCCTACGTCACAGGTTGTGTTATTCCTACTAAATTTAACCCATGAACGGCATTTTCTGCGAGCCTAACCTCAAGCTCACAAACGAAGTGTTTGATCGTTTAAATAGCTGCTCGCCAGATTTTATTGCATTATGGTTGCACTGCGATAAGGGAGTTGAAAATATTTCACTTCATTTTTTTTGTGATGCAAGCAAGTATGCCTNATTTGGAGGTTTAGCATTGCGTCATGGTAAATGTTATTCCTACTAAGTGGAAGTAGTTGTGTTTTTTTTATATTATACCCAATTAAATTCATTTTATAAATGACGTCTTAATTTATTTGAGAATCGTGGACTGTTCACGCTTTTCTAAACTTCCCAGTAATTTTTAATTTTTTTTTATTATTTAAATATTTATACTTTTATTAGTTGCACAAGTTGAATGGATTGGAAAGATTGTGAAATATTTGACAATATGCACAGTGCACACATCTCCGTGTCTTCATCTCCTTAAGAAATATTTATATTTGAGTAAAATGAATCTTATATCTTTTATACTTTAAAAATTTAAGAGGTCGTTTTTGTACCTCCCAGACAGAGATGAATAAAAGCGTTGAACAGATAAAAGATAAAAAAATGGATAAAATTGCTAAAGCAATGAAAAAAAGAAAAAGTAAATAGGAACAAGTTGAAAAGGAAGAATCAACAGGCTGCGAAGAAAGCTTTCTTAAAATTGAACAAAAATCTGCCAAAATAGCTCCGAAACATATAATAGTTAAATTTAAAAACTCCATGTATTCAAAATTAAAAAAGTATTTACTCCTTGGATTTATTTTTGAGCAAAATGCATAAATGAGAAGTGGAGAGAGAAATGTGCGTTTTTTGTCTAAAGGATTCGAACCAAGGACCTCCGAGTTAGTAGTAAGAATCTCTAAGCACCATAGTTGTACACACCTGTTCAGGGAGAGTTAGGAAGCTTTATATAGTGGCAGCTGCAACGATGCATCATGTCATTTCAATTTTCATTTTCATTGTTAAAGAGGGTTAAAATTTAGAAAAAATAGGGTCCCAATAGCTTCTAGGAGATCGGTAATTTTAATTTCACTTTTTGCTTATTAAGCTATATTTTAAAAACTTTTAAGTAAAAGGAATGTATGTCATGATGTGTCATTGCGGCTGTCGCTATTTAAATCTTCCTTACTCTCCTTGAACTGGGGTCTAGAACTATGGTGGTTAGAGCATCCTACCACTAACTCAGAGGTCCTTGGTTCGAATCCTGCCGGCAGCAAACGAACATCTCTTTCACCATTCTCTTTCAATATCACTTTTGAGAGAGAAATGTGCTTTTATACATCACATCACTTGTGTCTTTCTTTTGGGTCAAAAATGAGTATATGTTTGGTGTTCCCATAGAGCCAGAAACACGTTAAATTTTACCATACTTTGGCCATATTTCTTTTCACTGAGTAGATAAAGATGTGGAGCTTTAGAAGTTTTGAATTTCCATGAAATTGAGATATTCTTAGCTTAAAATATTTGCTTGAGGTTAAGGAATAAATAACAGTAATATTTAAAATTCAGGGATACATTATAGACATTGTTTTTTTGAGAGAAAACTTCACTTTTATCCATTTTAATACATCACAAGTCTTAAACATGAAGCGTTTTATACACTACAAATCTTAGTTTATTTAAAACAACGTAAACAAGAACCACATAAATACATAATTTTATATTAATCAATCAATATGAGGTTTTTTAAACTGTGGAGAACAAAACAAGTGGAAATTTTTATTTGTTCAGGTTAATATGATAGGTTTATTGTGAAGAAATACCAAGCCCCATTTTTAAGAAACTAAATCAGGAGAGAAGAGCAAATAATTAGGCAGAATAACTAAAAAACATAGTAATTATAAATAAATTGCATAAATTTGTAAGATAAATTAAGTTCAAAATTATTTTAACATAACATTTTTAAAAAATAAAATTATAGTTAAAATGAGAACTAATTCACTTTTAAAGTAATTTCTTAGAAGTTTTTACTTTTCCTTTATCTACCGAAATGTGATATGTCTTACGACTTAAAATGTTACGCTGCTACCAAGCCCTTAAGGAATTACTTTCCAATACTTATGCACCCGCTTAATGATTCAATGCAGAGTTTCAGAGAGAATACACAGTTTCAGAAAAATTTTGAAAAAAAAAATAGTTTCCCGTAACTGTTACATTTGCTTGCTACCGATATCGGAAAAGTTTAGCTATAAAGGTGATAAATTGGTTAATTTTTCAGAAAATGCTCAAGACTGTAAGAACGCACAAAAGAATGTTGGAAAAAGGTTTGTTTCCTTTGCGATCATATACTTTCATGCTGATATTTATTAAACCATCTTAAAATTTTTGAACAAGTTTAACGTCCGATTCAAAGTTTTAAGTTTAAAGTGTTCAGCTTTCAGTAATAAATTTTTACAGAAAATGACATCCCTTTAAAAATTAAGTAACCATTTTTGAACTATTGTTAGAAAAATCTTAGTTAATTTCTGCTTCAAATTATTACTATTTATTTGGAAAACAGACACGGAAATGATATGAATAAAAAATTATATAAATTAAAGGTATATAACAAGCAAAATTAAAACAAACTATTAAATTTTTTTTGAAAGTTATATAGTTTTCTTTATTAATTTTTTATTAAATGAATAAAATTGAAAATCAACTCTCAGAAAAACTTCATTTGAAGGACGTGATATTAAAGGTTTTCTACTCCGATAAAAAAAAATATTTTATCTTTAAAATGTCAGTAATGAGCTAAAAGAACAGGGGTAGAAAATTCAGATTTTTATGAAGAAACGTTTTTCAAATTGAACATCTATTCAGACTGGTTTATTAAAATCAATAAGAGAGTTTTCTGTTTGAGTTTAAGGCTTCAAGCAAGATGAAATACTTCTAATATGGGAACTTTTGAAATGTTTTTTTAAAATTGTAGAATAGTATAATATAAATAATATTAATTCGCAATACATATTATGAAGAAAATCTAAAATTTTTTTTAACAAATTCTTCTTAATAATAAAAATGATAATTTAGAAAAAAATGCTTTAATTACAATTCCATATTGTAGTTTTTTTAAGGGCAACAGCATTCTATAATGGTCAATGTTTTTACTATAACTAAACTATTATACAAATTTTTCCAATTGAATTTAATTATTTCATAGTCATAAGATTCTTATTATAACTGAATACATAATCCTTTATAATTTATTAATTAATTTGCTTAATTAAACTTTTTCTAATTCGATCTGTATAGAAATTTTTGAACTCAAATAAAAGTTTGTTCCAGACAAAAAATGAAAGTTTTATCGACAATGCTAATGATCTAAAATTAATTCAATAATTATTAAACATACAATTGTTGAGATTTTGAATTTGTTCTAATCTTTATAGAAACTCCAAAACTATTGTTTGATGACCCGAAATCATTATCCAATTAAAACATTCTTTTTCCTTTTGCTTTTAAAAAACTAAGCTATAAATAAATAGTGATAAATCTTAGGAAAAAACTGAATTAAAATTATATTCAATTTAATAACTAAATTGTTTCCACTGAAGATCGAGAAATGCTGTGAGAATAATTTAAAAAGAGAAATATAAATCTTTCTATACAAATATCAAATTTAACAAATAGGGGGGAATGTAAAAAAAATGTTCTTTCATTCTGACTGCTATAGTGATTAATAAACTTGTCATAAAATACTTTTTTATTCTATCATAAGACTAATACAAACCTTTTATTGACTTTTCTTCGAGAAATTAATAACTTAAATTAAATTATTTAAATTTAATTATTTAAAAATGTTAACATACGCTATATACTCTTTCCTTAATGATAGAAAGAAGAACACAGAACAGATTTGTTT